ACTGTGGATGCACCGATCGAAAACAGTCAGGAAGAAGAACAAGTTGCAATGATACCAAAAAATAACAATAATGCATGACCACTTTTGTTCAACTACGCTAGTCGTTATGACGCCCTTGAACAAAAAAAAGGCATTTAATTCAAAGATTCAATATTCTTCGACCAATGATAACCGAAAAAAGCAAACAAAGTCTGAACGATTCAAATAAGTGATAAAAGACCAGAGCAAAAACTATCTGATATGAATAGAAAAGGGCAAAAACGCTTATACTTTTCAAGCTTTGTATGCAACAGAACTTCACATATCGTCAGTAAGCCATAAACAGACTTCTGTTATTCAATATATCTTGTAAAACTGTTGGAAAATTACATATTCTAATGTGCAAATAAGTTTGCAGTCTGTGTTTCATCCCTTAGCTGTAAACATAGGCAGAGCGTCGGATGCGAGTAGGGTTGGGAAATGTCAGTACAGCCTCCTACTCGCCATTTTCGAAAAAGACAGTATAAAATAAGCATGACAAGAATAGAATAGAGTTGCAGAAGTATGGAAAAAAGCGAAAGGAAATAACAGAGTGAATAAATCGAGTCCATTGACAGGCACGCAAAAACAACCCTCGCCAATCGCAACATCCATGTTGTGATTACATCCTTGCTGCTGTTTGTATAAACCTCACACTGTTGAGCAAACGCCCACAAATTCTTCAAAGTCGAAGTAAGATCTTTCCCGCCTCCACCAAAATACAGTGGTAAGCGGACTCAATAGCGTGCTAGCAGAGTAACGGCCCAGCCGCCTTTTAGCAGTTGCAGTTACCGTATCGTCGGAGAAAGGGAATTTGAAGAGTTTTTTTGCAAACAACTGCTGATACTGTTCGTTCTGTTCTATTATTATCGAAATTTGCACTATAATGAGGAAATGTTGGGATTTTTCCGAATTATTTTGATTTCTTGCGTTTTTTTTCCTCACGCTGAAAACAACGTGTTTGAAAGTGGGCTTATTATTGAAATTTGACTTGATTTATCGTTTACGATAAAATATTACCAGAGTATATGCTTTTATGGCCTTATGCGTTGTTCTCAGTTCCAAAAAGAAGGAAAAGCTGTGTCTTCCTGGTTTTTTCTGCTTTTCGCTTGGGTGGCACCTGCTTTTCATAATAAATGTTAATTAGTAAAAGCGGATGGGAGGTGATAAAGATTTAACTTTGTGGTATTAAAAGGACATTGGTTGGGAAACTGTACTCCCAGCAAATACTGCTAAATCTCTTCGAAATGGTTGGCTCGCAGACAGCGTGAATACTACTAGACGTTGATTTTTAGGTCAACTAACATCGTTTCTTGACACTGACCGCAGGCCTACATGTTGTATCGTCTGTTATCTCAAACTTGGGTAATATAACCTTTATTATATACATACATTATACGCAACGCGAACGAATACATGTAACACGCAAGAAT